ATTATAGTCTGCGGGTTGGATCAGGAGTTCGAAACCCCAATTAGGGGAGAACTGACTATATGGGAGAGGGCACCAGGATGGGTCCAGGGTTATGTTCAACTGACTTAGGGCGGTCCGGGTAGACTGAAGGCCAGCAGGGCGCACCAGTCAGGCCGAAGTCCCGAAGAACGGTCCAGACAGGCTAAAGGCCTGGAGAGGCGGTCCAGACATGCTGAAGGTTCTGAGAGTGGTCCAGATAGGCTGAAGGCCTGGTGAGGCGGTCCAGTCATGCTGAAGACTCTGTATGTATTTCGTTAGATCTATGTTCTGGTATTGAGCATGCTGCTTTGTGATGGTAACCTGTGGAACCATACGTTATCTATGCTTATAGGTTATCACTTATAGGGAGCCCTTAGGCACTGTCAGTGGTTATATGGGAGAGACTGAAAACTCGTGGGCAACAGCTTATTCTATAAGGGAATCAGGTATGGTAGGTTTTCAGTATTGTGTCGCTTGTTCGATGCGGTGAAAAACATTTATTAGGCCTTGTGGGCAATGGAGGAAGATGAGTATCTTCAATTCAGAGTGTTGGGCAACTAATGTGACGGCAGCAGTATCGATAGGTTATTGGGAGCATTCCAGTCATAGGATATGGGCATAGAGATAGTGATGATTATTTCTCCTATTGGAGCGCGTTCGGAATGGATGTATTGATGAGGTTCGGATGAGCGGTACACGGTTGCGACGAATCAAAGGATTTGGATGAGGTGCAAGGATAGGTCTTTGGATCTCAAGTTATGGGTTTAAACCCGAGTTATGTATATAGTGGTATTCCAATCTAGGGTATTCCATCATGAGGATGATTGTACCCTATGATTGATTGGACGTGACGTGTTTGGTATTCCAACCCGAGGGTTGATTGGGCCAAACATGTGTGTGATACGAGGGTATTCCGTCCTAGAGATGACTGGACTCGTCGTAGGCATGCATGGTATTCCGGCCCGAGGCTGATTGGGTCGGGTATGAGTGTTCATGCTTGTTAGCCGGTTGTTTATGTGAGTTGTTTCGGGAGCTGAAGGACGCATTATCCTGTCAGCACAAAAAGGATTCTCTTCAGGAAGGGGGGGGGGGGGGGGGGGGGGAAGATAGGTCCCCGATACTTTGGATCATCAGGATTTTGCCAGGGATGGCAAGGCAAGGTATCACAAAAAAGGGCCAGTGGCAGTTGTGGAAAAGAAGTTGAAGATTCTACATAGCAGGGAGATACCTTTGGAAAGGGTGTAATGGAGCATCGGAGGTAATCCAAGTAGACTTGGGAGCCGGAGGCTGAAGTACATGAACATTATCCGGATTGTTCACCGCAGCAGGCTTCGAGGACGAAGCCCCGTTTAAGTGGGGGAGAGTTGTAACATCCTGATTTCCAGGAATGAAATTTCAGGGATTTTCAGGCAAATAAGAAAGCCTACTCGACGAGTTGGAGGCACCAACTCGTCGTGTAGAGATTAGTTATGCCGCGTGAGTTTCAGGATCTACTCGACGAGTTGGAGGACCCAACTCGACGAGTAGGAGCTGGAAAGTGAAAACCCTAATTTTTAGGGTTTGCACCCTATTTAAAGACCCTTAACTTCTCTCCTCAGCCTCCCTTGCCATCTTCACGAGCAGAAAAGAACCCTAAGCGATCTAGCCTCCATTTTTGAGTGTGTGAGGTTAAAAGAGAGTGTGTTTGGAGCATTTCTTGAAGAGTCAAGAGCTTGGGACAAGGAAGAGCTTGTAGATCCGGCCTTTCCAGTGTTGTGGCAGCAAGATTGAGGTATAAAGCTACCACCTTGACATTTCATTGCTTAGATCTTCCCTTGTAAAGAAAATGGTCATTTCTAGGGCAAAATGGAGTCATTTTCGGATTTGAGCTTGTCACAAGGACATGGCTTCAGATCTGGACTCCTCTTGGTCCCTATAGCCATAAAGTTACCTGATTGAGCAAGCTTGGGCCTTTCCCTTTGAGTTAAACCTTTCCTTTAGTTTGATTTTGGCATTTAGGACCATGCATGTACGTAAAATTTGCAACTTTACGTGGAAACCGTGCCATAGGACATTAGATCTGCAACACGGAGCTTTGGGGTGGCTTAAAAACGTATGTATAAGAAATGGACTGCATGAACTCGACGAGTCGCATAGCCGACTCGACTAGTCGGATGAAGATTTCCCGTAATTGATTCTGCATGAACTCGGCGAGTCAGTAAGAGGACTCGACGAGTCAGTTAGGGTTTTCCCCAACATCTGGACACACATGGACTCGACGAGTTGGTTGGAAACTCGGCAAGTCAATTAGGGTTTTATGACTTCCTGAGTTCTTAAGGAACTTGACGAGTTGCTAGCTGCACTCGACGAGTCGGGTCAACATGGACTGTTAACTTTGACCGTTGACTTTGACTTTGACCAAGGGTGGACCAGTTGGACTTTTGAGGGTATTTTGGTAATTAGGGATTCTGATGGACTTGGTCCTATGGAGGTTATAGGTAGGGGTGTTCGTTTGTATGGATCGGTTTGATCCGATCCAATCAAGTGAATCCAAATTGATTTCAGTTTTCAAAACATGAATCCGAAAAATCCAAACTAAATTCAAATCCGATCCAATTACAATTCGGTTTGATCGGTTTTTATAATTCGGTTTTCAAAAACTGAAACATTTTAAAACGACATATAATTATAATATTACCCAACGTTACACAAGAAGCAAAGACAAATTATTTAGTTGTGATTTGAAATTTATAAACAACTAATAAGAAGATATATTATAGTTAAATGTTTTATAGATAGAAAACTTTTGAAAGAAAATGCATATTAATGTTTTTTTTTATTGGGTGAAAACGTTTTGAACCTATTTGAACAAAAAATTACAAAATTAAAAAATAACTATAGATATATATTATAAATAGATAAATAATAAATGTTTATTCAGTTTTTTTGGACTATTTGGTTCATATTTTATAGACCAAAACCAATCCAAAATAATAATTCGGTTTTGTTGAAAACCAATCCAAAAATCCGAATATCCGAACCAAATAGTCCAATCCAAATTGTCCAATTAGATAATTCGGTTTTATCCGAATAGTGAACAACCCTAGTTATAGGTGGTAGAGTTCGTGACAGTGATTCGGGAGTTGGATCTTATCACTACAGTTCGGCATCGTGATGTGAGTTATCCTCACTATACTCAAGGGTCTAAGGCACCAAGGCCGACCCCTTGGATGGTTATCATAGTTATCTTGTGATTATGTGTTGTGATGCTATGTTAGATCTGTATCCTGGTTATAGTATGATGCTATGATTAGTGATCTGTTAGATCTGTATGACTATCGGTACATGCTAGCTTACACGGTTTAAAGGATCTTAGACTGAAGGGTTGGGTTCTGCTGCGCAGCTCTCGTTTGGGTCTAACCGTTGTGGGATCGAATCTTTTAGCCTAAGATTGTTTAAACTATGGGGCATGTATGCTTAGTGACCCGTAGGTCGGTTTGACTGTCCATGGACTGTTGTGTGATCACTTTCTATATGTGCACATGCTTGATTGGCAGTTGAGGGTATTCCGTCCTGAGGATGATTGGACCCTAGTATGTTGTCTCTGTAGACTGTTATATGATTATCTGATATAGGTGCACATTTTTGATAGTATGTGGGCATTCCAACCCGATGGTTGTGAGCCGAGAGTATTCCATCCCGAGGATGATTGGACTCATAGTATGTGTGCAATCCAACCGATGGTTGTTGGCCGAGAGTATTCCATCCCGAGGATGATTGGACTCATAGTATGTGGGCATTCCAACCCGATGGTTGTAGGCCGAGAGCATTCCATCCCGAGGATGATTGGGCTCGTAGTATATTGGCATTCCAACCCGATGGTTGAGGGCATGGGGGTATTCCAACCTGAGGGTTGATTGGACCCATAGTATGTTGGCATTCCAACCCGATGGTTGAGGGCCTGGGGTATTCCATCCCGATGGATGATTGGACCCATAGTATGTTGTTTGTTATTATATTTGTATTGTTGTGTGTATGAGTATTTTGGGGGTAACTCAATAAGCCTTCGAGATTACTTTTATCGATTATTGTTTCATGTACTTATGATGATCGCGGGAAGGCGAAGGCGTGATCGTACACCACCTCATGTTTTTATGATTTGATTCTGGGGATACTCTGATGTCTAAACTATTTTGAAAACACTTTATAATTATTAATGATTTTGAATGGTTGAAAAAGTATTAAATTGGCTTGAATTTTATGGATGTTACAAATTTTTTAGAAATCGATTGTTCTTGAAAACCCATTACCTATAAGCTTTTTTTAGTTTCATAAATCGATTTTAATTCTAGAAACAAACCCAGAAATTCGATTGTTCTTGAAGAGCAACCCCGAAAAATTGATTGTTCACTAGGTTAAGTAAGGAGATATGGGGGATTAGGGTGGAGAAGATGGATGTGATTGGCGGCGGATGGTGGTGACAGCGAATGATGATGGATGGCAGAGTTGGAGGTGGAGGTGTTCTTGAGACTGTGTGTATATGTTCTTGATTGTGTTAAGTGTGTGTTTTGAAAAGAGTTAGAAAGAAGATGATTTGGGTGATAGAGAGAGGAGGATGGTGAGTTTTTTTTAATTAATTAAAAATATTAATATAAATATAAAAAAATTAAAAAAACAAATAAAAAGATATAATCCTCTTGTCAAACTGATAGAGACCAAAATCAATCAAAATATCCAAAATTGAATCGTTTGTGCATTATCAAAACTTTTTGAACCAAAACTACATAATTTTGCGACCGTTTTTTGCAATTTTATCTTAAGGTTATAGTTTTTTGCAATTTTGTCTTAAGGTTATATATAATCAAAATCAAAACTCTCAAAATAATCAACTCCGTTAGATATCCTAATGCCCACGACAAGTTATTAAGTTCCAGAAACGACAGCGTTTAAGTTGTCTATATTTTCTTGAAAAGGAAAAACATATTAAATGAATTTGTCCGTAGCTAAAAACAACGAACGGTGCAGATAAAACGCAGCCATTAAACCTCAAAAAATCTCCCTCAACTCAAGCTCTCAGATCTCTAACAATCCATCACAAACTCAAATTCATCTCTCTTCTCCAACGTCCGATCTGCTGAATCAAATTCCTCTCTCGTTGCGCGCCAAATACGACCCTCTCCCCCTCTCTCTAAAGGTATGTGAAAAAAAAAACTACCACACCAAAATTGGTGTATGGAAAGTAAACCCTAAAAGCTTCTAAGTTTAACTTTCTTTGAATTTCGTTTTTTTGGTATGTTTGCTGATGGGTCATTAGGGTTTCTGTCGGTGATAGGATGGCGGGTGCTCCTGGGAGTCCGGCCGGTGGGAGTCAAAGCGGCGGAGACCGGAGTCCTCAGTCAAATTACAATATCAGAGAGCAAGATAGGTTCCTCCCAATTGCTAACATAAGCCGTATTATGAAAAAGGCGTTGCCTACCAACGGGAAGATCGCTAAAGACGCTAAAGATACAGTTCAAGAATGCGTTTCCGAGTTTATCAGTTTCATCACTAGCGAGTATGTATACACAATTTTGACAATCGACACAAATTCTCTCAGATACTATGAAATGTTGAGTTCTGAATGCACACTCATGGAACTAGCTATAAGATTATATAAGAATTTTAGATTTTTAAATGTCATGGAATACTGATAATGATCTTATTGAACCTTACATAGGGCTAGTGATAAGTGTCAGAAAGAGAAGAGGAAGACGATTAATGGTGATGACTTGTTGTGGGCGATGGCTACATTAGGTTTTGAAGATTACATTGATCCACTCAAAGCTTACCTATTTAGGTACAGAGAGGTAATGGATTTTTCGTTGCCTTTTTAGTAACACATGATCTTTTTCTTCTCTTATTATAGCAACAAAATGTGATCATTTTTTTTTTGTTTTCTTTCGCGTTAAATTGATATATATTGCTATGATTCTACATTTTAAACCTAAAACACACGTATTTTAAACCGGTTTACTTTCATTTCCTATGTTTTTCTTGTTCAATTTCTCAAATTCTTTGTGTAACTTATATATTTTTTTTGTTTCCTTTTTCTATTGGACGCTTATGTTGGGAAATGATTCATGCAGTTAGAGGTGGGTGATCCTTCTTTGACACCAATTTATTAATCAATCTCTTTCAATATTAATTTAAGCACAAAGTTTCACTTTTTTTATTTATCGTAACACTTTTTTATGTTTTTTTTAGGGTGATGCTAAGGTATGTGCTAGTGCTAGTGCTAGGGGTGGTGATGGATCTAGTAAGAAAGATACGGTTGAATCTCAGCTTGCTCCAAATGCACAGGTGAGCTATATGCAAAAAATAGCAATGTATTTTGACTACTTTTATTGATTTGTTTATTATAAATAACTTTGTTGGAAATGAATTTGCAGTTTACTCATCAAGGTTCTTTTACACAAGGAATGAACTTTGTGAATTCGCAAGTCTGAACTTTCAGGTTCTCTCTCTCTCTCTCTCACACACACACACACATACATATACATACATATATACATACATATGTATGTATATGGATATACATATATGCATACATGAATAACTATTTTATATCATGCTTGTTGCAGGCAAAGAGGCATCATGTTGTTGTTCAAGCATATCGTATTTACTGATTCAGTCATTTTACAATATTTGTGGGGTCAGTAAATGATGTTTAACGTGATTTGTACTTTTTTATAATATCGTATAGTGTTTCGTATACCAGAGTTAAATATATATGTATAAAAATATTGTTTATTTCGCCTCGTTTTTTTTTATTCTTGGGGCATGAAGAAGTTAATGTGTTTGTTGCCATGTTTTATCTTTCTATAGTTATGTTTTATCATGTTGAATCTCTGCATGTGTAATTTGAAAGTTTGTGTTCATAAAATACCAATATTTTGATCGTATTGTATGAATAATACAAATAGTTTATTTTGGAAAGAAAAAAAAGACGATGATGTTCTGAAGCCGTTACCAATATATATATATATATATATATATATATATTCTTCCCTTTGAAAAATCATGAATCCTAATACTTGTACTCGTAACAAATTCATTTATCTGTTTCATCAAATTGCGTTTTTATAAATAAATTAACCGTTGTGGTGAAATAAATGTAACTTGTTCATTGATTTGATGATATTTTTAGGGTTTTTGGCAATGTAGCAGAACAAACAACAAAGTTTGACAAATTTACACATTTAGTCACTCAAGTATTTTTTGTGCTCAACTGGTCTTAACGTTAGGAAATACCGACTAATTAAGGGTTTTACTTTTTAGGGGAAATTGTATCCGGTTTACAGGTGACATGGTTTGACATATGTTGGTTTGTTTTTGGTCCTGTAGCACAACAAAGTTTGGCGAATTTACGTATTTAGTCACTCAAGTAACCGTCTGTTTATGTATCAGGTCATATAATGGTGTAATTGATAGGTAAACTTCAACTTTAATGGTCTATTAGGCACAAAAATATTTGAGTGACTAAATGTGTAAATTTGTCAAACTTTATTGTGCTATAGTGCCAAAAACTCATCTTTTTTATTAATGAAAGTTTCATGAGTAGGACAATTTTTGTAACCGACAAATCAAATCTATTTCTAAGATGCTTCTAATTTCATCTATGTCTTAGGTGAGACTTGAACCTTCAATCTCGAAATTTATAATTACTATATCACTTTCGATTCTTTCTAAAATGGCAATAGTTACTTTAAACACGATAGTAATGTTTGATTTGTAGCACACTTAGTTGTAATTCGTAACTTACAACCAACGGCTATAAATGGTGTGGGAATATTGGAAGATGACAGTTTTCATGCGATTTGAGAAGTTTGGGATGAGAATGAAAAAAGTATAAAAATAATAAAGTAAAATGCATACCCCTCTATCTTAGGAATTAGGATCATGTAATACCTACAAACCATTTGTCCATTTACCAAACACTTAGGAATTAGGATCATGTAAGACTCTAAAAATGTATGCATTGAGGTATAATATAATATTTTATACAATTGATTTTTCATTTACCCGCTTAAGTTTATGTAAAAGTTTCAAAATGTATCTTAACCTTTTAAATTATATTTTAAAAGCAAATAACTTTAGTGTTTTTCGGAAAATGTATAACTGATTATAAGATTGGAGAGAATGGTAACACTCCTAACACATTATCAAGTAACTTTTTTTTATTGACATATAGGTTTTTTTTATTGTCACCTACACATAACATTTTACATTGAAAAAAAAGAGGAAGTGGTAGTGTGATTTTAAATATGTTTTATTTTGAAAAAGAAAAAAGAAAAAAAGAAAAAAAACAACCAATAGTTTTTGTTGCCAAAAGGTGCACAACCAATCATATCAAAGTTTCTCTCTCTCTCTCTCTCTCTCTCTCTCTCTCTCTCTCTCTCTCTCTCTCTCTCTCTCTCTCTCTCTCTCTCTCTCTCTCTCTCTCCTCTCTCTCTCTCTCTCTCTCTCTCTCTCTCTCTCTCTCTCTCTCTCTCTCTCTCTCTCTCTCTCTCTCTCTCTCTCTCTCTCTCTCTCTCGTTAAGGGCTTAGCGAGTTTGGTGTAGCGAGCCCCCTGTAGCGAGAGCTAAGGGCGGTGTTCCTTCTCCTAGCGAGCGCCACAGCGAGTCCCGTAGCGACTCCACTCCCATTGGCCTAAGTAATGACCTAACTTTTTAGACTTTACCGCAATAACCATCAGATACTAAATACATCCATTTTGGATTTTAGATCTATATAATATATTATATTTTATTTGCAACAAAATACTTAAAAAAAACTTCTCGCGTTCTCTATCTCCAAAATATTTAGTATTATCAGTCTTTCAACATAATAATATTTTTCAAGGTTTTGTATCGAAATATTTTTTATAAGTTTATATTTTTCAACATTTTAGTTGTTCTGTAGCATTTATGTAGTATTAGACTCCGAAATAATACATTTAGAAAATGTTATTCGGGCTTTGGCGTCCGAAATGCTAGATTTATTTTAACATATATAATCAAAATAACACACATGTTTTATTAGTTTTTATATTTCATGGTATTATTAACCCAAAAAAGCCATTTGTAAGCCGGATTTGTCCGAAATGTAGCATTATTTCAAAGATGTCTTTTTGTATTTCAAAAATGTTATTGGAATTTTGGAGTTCTCCATGTAAACTTCCATTTGAGGTTCTTTTTCACTGTTTCGATACATAACAGTAATAATCGAAGAAGAAATCATTAAAAGCTGTCTCTTACTAACAAAAAATTTAAAAAACTGTCATGTCAGTGATATTTTTTATTTTTTCTAATTCACGCCCCGATAAAAGCACCAACTACACATCTTCGACTACTAGCCAATAATCGTCTCATCAAGTATTTCGAAATGTATCATGGTTTGGTATGTATAATCAGTGTTACAGAAATCAGCCTTGGCGGCCGATTAATCGACGATTAATCGTTTGATGGCCTTGACCGATTAAGATTAGGGTTTTTTGTGGAAATTAGTCAAAATCGGTAAAACTCAGGCTTGGCGATCCTTGGTGACCCTTGGTGGTCCTCGGCGGTCATAGGCGGGAAATATATAAAAAATTCAATTTTTTTAATTTTCAAATATTACTTCAAAACTTTAAATTTTCAAATCTTTTAGTTTTTAAATTTTAAAATATTATACTAAAATTTTCGAAATTTCAAAATTTAAAATTTTCAAATACTTATTTTTTTAAGATATATTAATCGCCGCCTAGTCCGATTAATCGCTTAATGCTAGTCGACCTCCGCGCGATTTTCACAACTTTATGTATAATATATTGTTTTATATTAATTAAAGTATTAACTTTTCATATTTATTTGCATTGTGTCGTGTCTTATTTAAATGAAGAGTGTAATGTTTAAATGAACATTCTATTAAATAAATAACACAACGTTATGAACGACTAAATAACAATTCGATTCGAGGGAGCTAGAACAAGATATGATTGGTTCTATGTATGCAACTCGATAAACCTTTATCATGAAAAAAGTCGTAGACAAATTTTAACATTATGTAAATCTTAGTGATATTGTTGATGTTATCACATAACCATAAACCATAAACGTATATCATATACATATATAAGTTTTATCTTATAGATTGATGACAACCTTCTTCAATGAATTATAACTTTAATATTCCGCACTTGGGCCTCCTCATTTGAATCACTATTTATGTACGAAGGGATGACTACCTTCTAAAGTTTCACTACAAAAAATAATGAGCATGTTCAGCAAAACTAGTTGGTAGCGGGTAGAGAGTAACGAGTAGTTGATAGTGTCTTGTTAAACGATACATTAGATAACTTTTAGATTTAGAACATTTTGTTTAAACTAAACGTTAAAAGCTTGTAGTGTCAAAACGAGGTTTTTTTTGTTCAAAACGGAGTGTTTTGTTAAATGCTAGAAGCTCTCAAACGCTTTGCGCCAACACATGCCCAATGTCATGTCATCTTTATCATACGATGCTAAATGGTTATGTTGTGTAACACACACATATATATAAATTGAAAATGTTGAGTTTCTTATTAAATCATGTTATCTCAATCTCAACTTTGGTATAACAATTAATAATGTAAGGAATTGTGATGGAGCAGCTAGATGAGCCGAATGCGCATGTGTCTTCTGGAATACATAACCTAATATATTGAGGTTGTGTCTGCCATCTGCGTTTTATATTCAAAAATAAATATCACACACATTTTCTCTATGGTGATTTAGGGTTTCTATTTCTTCATCTTCTCTGTATGAGAGAGAGAGAGAGAGAGAGAGAGAGAGAGAGAGAGAGAGAGAGATCACTAACCCGCCAGATACGATTAATAACTCCAACCCGTTGGAACCGACGATGAAGGCGTCCTTACCCGACGGTACCTCCGGTACCGCTCCAATCTACGACGGAACCCGTCGTCGACTCCCTCCTTCTTAATCCTTCCTAATCAGGACTAGATGAAAGAAAACCTACTAAATGACATTTATGAAAAAAAATCTTATAAAATTTAGACATCTACATACATAAATATCATATTAAAATAAAACTATTATTTTTGACCGACTTAAGAGTTTTTAATATATTAATTTTCTAGGAGTTAAAACTAAAAAATATTGTAATTATTTTTTAATTGTTGTTTCTATTTTTTAATGGTGGGAATATTGTAGAGGAAAACATTGGGGACTGCGATGTAAATATAAAAACCTTCCAGATGAAAGACATGGGGATCTTGGTTGGGTTTGGTCATGTTGCTCGTAATCACTCATTAGTCGTTAGGGTTTACGATCTACAACCGGAGCTCTGCTAAAAATCTCGAAGCATCCTTACCCACGAATTATCAGGTAACAACAAAAATTATCAGCATATATCTCGTCTATTTTATCTTTATATCACCCGCGCGAATTCATTCTGCTTATACCTTAATTATAATCCGTTTACTTAGAATCACAAGTAAGATAGATATCTGCTAACAGTTGAATTGTTCATGTTCACTCATTGTTTGGTTACATTATCAAAATGAACATTTTCGTTAAATTTCAGAGTATCATTAAAATCAAAACATTTGTATGAAACTTTGTTCAATTTCTTCAGAATTCGACCAATTTGAAGATACGACGACTTGATTTGTGAGTCCCGCCTAACTGATTTGTGGACAAATGAAAATGAAATCCAGAATTGGGAGAATGAACGAAATGATATAAATAATGGAACCCTAGATTTTTCAGATATTGCTTTCTGGATTTACAAAATTACAATTTCAGATGATTAGGTTATTATCCTCGATCTATATTGTAACCAATTTACATAATTCATTAGAAAAACACTTATTACTCACATCAAGGTTTGAATCTGTTTCCCTTAAGGCTAAAGATTCCCTTTATGCAGCCAAATAAAACTTATGGAGAACACTGAACCACCTGTTTCATCAACCACTACTCGCACATGGCATGACTTTCTAGAACGCATGAGACAACCTTCCGCAACAGAATTTGTCAAAACCATAAAAAACTTCATAACCACATTCTCAAAAACCATTCCAAATCCCGAAAAAGACAGTGAATCCATACAAGAATTCTTCGCCACCATGGACGCCGCTTTCCGGGCCCACCCTCTATGGGCGGGTCGCACAGAAGACGAATTAGAAAACACAAGTGAAGGCCTCGAAAAATACATAATGACAAAACTATTCCCTCGCGTATTCGCTTCACACCCAGAAGATATCAAAATAGACAACGATCTTTTCACCAAATCGCTTTTAATCCAACACTTCATCGAACCCCACCACTTAGACATTCAACAAAAGTATCAAAACGAAACTTCATGGTTAATCGCAAAGAAAGAGCTTCAAAAAATTAATAGTTACAAAGCACCACGTGATAAACTTTCATGTATTCTTAGTTGTTGTAAGGTCATAAGTACATCGCTATTTAACGCATCCGAAAATCCACCTGGCGCTGATGATTTTCTTCCTGTTTTAATTTACGTTACAATTAAAGCAAATGTGGCGCAATTGCACTCAAATTTGGTTTATATTCAACGGTTTAGGAATCGGTTAAGGTTAGGTGGAGAAGCGGAGTATCTTTTCACGAATATGTTATCTGTAGAATCGTTTATTTTGAACATAGATGCTAAGGCGTTGTCTATGGATGAAATTGAGTTTGAGAATAATATGGAATCTGCGAGAGTAATTGTTTCGGGGGAGTATAATGGTGAGAATGTGGAAACTAGAAGGGTTGAAAGTGAAAATGATATGGAGGCGAAGTTGAAAGAGGTTCCTTCGGTTTCGGATTTGGAAAATAAAGGTGGGACAATGATTGTTATGGAGGAAAAAGTGAGTGAAAAGTTTTGGAATTTTCCGTTTTTGTATTCGAAGGTTGATGATTTGAGTGTTGGTGATGTGGATGAGTTGTTGAATGGTTATAAGCAGCTTGTGTTTAAGTATGTTTGTCTTGCTAAAGGATTGGGTGTTCCTGTTCTGCCGCCTCCGGAGACCGGAGATGGTGGCGGGGAGGCGGTGGGTGGTGTTTCGGTTGGCGGCAACGGAAAGTGAACAGGTGGAGGATGGTAGAGTAGAAGGAGGTGGGGATGATGGTGTTGGGGATTCTACAACTAAAACTCTGGTGGCTGGAGAAGTTGTTTCTCAGTTAGATGTAAATGTTGAAAAATAAATTATGTATCTTTTTGTTTTTGTGGATTAGATTTAGATCTTTTGTTTATTTGTTTATTTGATCGATGCATCTTTTGATTATATTCACATTGTTAAATTGAGAAACTTGTGAAAAATAGTAATGTAGTTTACTTTTATACCAATATGGACAATATATTTTATTTTTTACCCATTTTACACTTTTTGCACGTAATCAAAGATGAAAATGTCATAATTAAAAATATAACAAAATTCATGAAAAAAGAATCAAAATTGTGATGATTTTGTGGCTATTCACTAGTAAACCGAGGTTAATCATGACGCATATAACAGAATTTTCATACGAGCATCGAACTTTAGAATCCTTCAATGAAGCTACAAAGGGAAGACGAGGTTTAAATAAAAAGGATGTTTGATTCTGATCGTGATTCTATGTGGTGGTATGCCTTTTTTTAGTTGGAGATGGGCGATTTGATTCAGCTTTGTTTGAAGCCTTTATTTATCATAAACAACTCTTCAAGATTCAAAACACCTGCATATGTCAAAAAGAATCTACCACCATCTTTTCATTTTTATATGAATTGAAAACATATTCATCCTTTCAGTGAATTCTTAGGAGTACAAAGTTCCAGGAAAATGTGTGTATAAAGTTGTTAGTCTAACATGTTGATAATTTTTTTATTTAGTTATTTTGTAGGAATGACAATTAATCACATTTTTGACTAGTTGCAGCAAAGAAACATTTACTTAAATCTATTATCTATTATTTTATTATCTATATTTATATTTATATCGATATATATAAACTATCTTATATTAAGGTCATCCAAATAAATATGGTTTAAGACTGCTTCCATTTTTGCATCACATTCATTCGAAACCCTAAACATTTTAACTAATCTATTAATCGCTACATCTTAAAAAAATCTATTAAATTACTACATTTTAAAATGTTTTTTTAACTAATGACACTTAAATGATTAATTGAAATGTAATATCAATTATAATATTTTATTTGAGTTATTTTTTTATTTAAAAAATTGCTTATTGAATTTATAAAGTATATTATATACTTAATGGTAAACAATATATAGATAAAAGTAATGTAATAAACTTAATTTAATCATATAAATTTCTAAATTATAATAATTCTACTATGTGTTATTTACTTATTTTGTTTGTTAGTTATTTAAATAATTATTAGTTATTAAAATCCTAAAAATTCATTAAAAAATTATTGCTAAACTATTTTATAAAGTCGATTATGTAATTCGTAAAATATTTGAATTTAAGAAAACTTTATAAAAAAATTAACCCATAATTAAATTGAATCAAATCATACATCAAAAAATACAATCATTTAAAACTATTTTTGTAATTATCATTTTATATATCGATTAGTTTTAGTAATATAATTTGTTCGTATCATGTAATTGAGAAAAATAAAATAAAAAATAAAGAAAAATGGTTGGCAACAACAAGGTTTCTAACATGGGCGACCTAGACATCATTATGATCCTGATATGCGTCATAGATTATATCAACATTCTACAAACTGTATTGCATGTATAACACATAGTTTTATGGTTAATGAAACAAATTATTTGACATGTTTTCAATTTTGATCATGACGATTATTTCAAATATCAAATGATGTTTTCATTGGAATGTATTATACTATTTAATATAATGTTATTTATAAATATTATTATTCTTTATTAATATAACTCATTAAGAAAATTTTCATTGCAATAAAATAATTATTGGATAAACTTTTAGTAAATTTGGCATTTCAAATTAGGTTATATATTTAACAATGTATTTATCTTAATAGCTATTAAAAAAATATTCCTTTAACAATTTTTTAAGTTTAGTTATTTTTTTTAAGTTTTGTGTTTAGCACTTTATTTAAATTAAAAAATTAAATATATTATACAGTATTCAAAATGTTGTATAGTTAAAATGATAATATTTTACATTAAGTAACATATTTAAATTGATAAATTAAGTATATAAGTTGAAAGTTAAAAAAGTTAGTACTACAAAGTAAAATAATTGCATACTATTATATAGTAGAAATTTGATAATATTTTAAGATAAATGATTTTATTACCATATAATTTGATTTTTTTAAATGTATTTATTTTGTATATTTTAGTTATTATAAGTCAATAAATTTTTTGAATGATTATATAAACAAGTTTTAATAGATATAAAAGTTATTTATTTCAAGTTAGATAATAAACTTAATTGGTTAAATTAAATGTCATATTTCTTGGTAACTTTATATTTAGTTTAAAAATAATATAATTATTTTAAGACATTAAAAATCTAAGAATTTAATAATGTGGTGATTTACTTATTTAAACAACATATTTATAACTTTAAATATTTAATATCTTATAAAATACGATAGCGTTTTAATTTGTTCGAATTATATAATCATCTTATATCATATTAAACTAATTTTTTAATATATTAAAATTATTTAATATTTTAATTTTAATGTTAACTATTTAACTATCAATCATATATTCAAAATTTATTAATGGTATAAACTATTATCATTTTAATGCTATAACTTTTGAATTGTCAATTTATTATACTTATTTGTTAGTTTAATTAGGATATTAAACATAAAACAGGAAGGGAAAATTATATTTAACTTTATCATGTATAACCGACATATAGATATTAAGATTATATGATTATAATAGATGTCTATTTTATCACATGTTTCTCAATAATTAGAATATTTTATAGTATAAAATTTATTATTTCATAGTTACTAAGACTCATATAGTTATTTTGAACAATATATATTTATCAATATTTTAAGTTTTTAAATATATAATTACATTTTGCGCAACGCGCGAGAATTCGCCCAGTATACTATAAGGCAAGTCATCATATCATCATATCATATCATACTATACTATAAATGAGTCATTTTTCTTATCATCATATGCATTTGAAACCTCCACGACCTTTCAATTTTCATCTTAATATAATTAATCTTTCTGCACCTGGAACACATGCTATTCTCAAATTAGATTTATTCGCAAACATATGGCATATACAATATTCATAAAACAGGAAAATGTTTTCGTAAACAGTTATGACGTAATTTAAAACATATTGGATTTTTAACACACATAGTTTTTAAACAGGTTAGACATGTTTCCCAAGGTATGAGATAAATAACACAAATAAACTTTCACGAAAAAAATTCCAAGTAACCAAAGATATGAGATAACTAACACAAATAAACTTTCATTCCATAAAAATATGCAAAACGATGGACTTATTTGCTCTTAATAATCAAAGATAAAAAAAGATGAAATATAAAACTATAACATAGTTGATGTAAAAAGAAACAAAATTGTAATGCAATTCTATTGCTTACCATATATTTTTTCAGCCAATGGAGTTCTTGAGAGTTGACCTTTGACCTCTGGACCCACATCCCTGTCTAGATCAATGACCTCTAAGCATTTGGTTAAACCGTTGACTTGATCTTCAAAACTAAACACATTCTCTTTCTCATCACTCTCATCTTGCTTTTGTTTCATGTCTATCATAGCTTCATCTTTCTGCTTCTTTTCCTCTATGTGCATTCTTTTGTTTGATATTTCTTTTTGTAAACTCACACCACTTTTTCTTCCATCATTGAAAGCTTTTCTAACTTTTGAACAATTCTCAGGGGTAACAGAAGGAGAAAGATTAGATAACTGGAATTTGTTTTTGTTTAGCCTGTTTCTGTTATGTGATTGTAAAGGACTCTCTTTCTCCTGCATACTTCCTTTAAAGGGTTGCCCCTGTAATAGGTAAAAAGACGTTAATACCCTTCATGAAAAATATCCCTCAAAAGCTAACAAAGAAACAAGAAGCTAGAATGAAAAGAATAATGATACCTCATCAAAGAATCCAATCTTTGGTGATGGCATTCGAAGACCCGAAGATTTGATCTTTCTTTTGGGCCCACTAGAAAGCAGGAGACTTTCCATTGATGATCTTGTTGCATGTTCAGGTGTATTAGAAGAAGATAAAGATAACCATCCTTCAATGGAGCTACAAGGGGATGTGGATGAAGTTGGTTTTGTGTTTTTGTGATTGATTTCCTTTCTACTGGATTTAGAAGATGAAGAAGCACTAGAAGATGATTCATATGAGCAATCAGCTTTTAAATCCTTTTGAGAAGTAAAAGAAGTTGATTTAGGAAGACCAGATAAGTCTCCCCATCTAGACCTCTTGGAAACACTCGAATCTGGTCCTTCATAAAGTAAAACTAATTAGAAAACAAAAAATAATATACATGAATAAATATTTTTTTTTTTTTTTTTTTTTTTTTTTTTTTTTTTTTTTTTTTTAAAGAAAATCATACCTAATCCTGCTTTTCTGGATTTATTTTTCGTTTTCACGCTATCTGATCCTTCAACAGATGGCTTGTTAGCATGTTTAGATGAGACAAGTTTTGAAGCTCCAAATGCTGGTTTGACCTTAAATTTGAAAATGGATATATTTTTTTTAATTATTTGGGTTTGTAAAAATAGAAAAAATGATAACCGGTGAAGAACTGAATATACACACCTTGTTTTGAGAGAAGATAGGTGATTTCTTGGAGGCTGAAAAGGAGACATGTAAAAGCTCGGTTTTTATAAAGAATGTGGAGTAGATGATGATTAAATAAAAGTGGTGACTGATTGATACCAGATGATGTTTGATTCTTAAGAGTAAGTTTATTATGAGGAGTTTGGTGATCGCATTCAGGTTTTTTGAAGCCTTTATTTATCATAAACAGCTCTTCGAGGTTCAACACACCTGCACATATTATCAAGAATCATGGATCACCATTTTTGTTTCATTTTTAAATGAATCACACATGAAAGACTCCTCCCTCCAATAAAATTACTATGTTTAATGGGAACAATAATGAAAAGTCATAACATTTTCTCCATTTCTTGGAGAACAGATGTGAAAACAGAAACCCTTATTGGAGAAAGACTCGAACAGACATCAAGAATTACCTGCACTAGTGAAGAAGGCATTGTCCCAAGCTAAGCTTTTACGCAAGAAACTTGGTCTTCTTGGCTCCATGGATTCAAACTGTGCTTCATCAATCCGCTCTACTACTTGCGAATTAATACTTTCAAACACCTTGATACGATCACACTCATTCAGATTGTCGTATGTTACTGCAAAACAAGTTCGTTCATAAAACTTTAAGCAAATCACTAGAAAGTAAAGGCGATCATTCAAAAAGGTGAATCAACTCTTTTTCGATAGTGTCAAACTGTCAATGAATCTCCTTTTTTTAGTTGTTGTTCAACTCGATAACATGAGATAAGATTGAAATCGAATTGAATTTCATGAGAAAAAAGAAACTGACGGAGAAGAAAATTAACAAAAAGGGTGAAAATCAAAGAACGTACACAGACAAGTGGATGATGATCAAATGGAACATAATTTGCACCTGAAAGTCGAAGATCTTCGAGAGAATCGCGAAAAGGAAACGCGATTAAGTAATCATCTTCCTCCGAAAAATCTATGAGTTGTAGTTCATCGCCTCCAACATGATTCATCTCGCATGTCATTCTTGCCCTAAATTACTCAATTCAATTGAATTTGTATATGCATACACAAATCTTAGACTGAGGAGAAGAAGAACAAGAATATAAGCATGAAGTCCAAGATGAAGAAGAGATGAATTCAAATTATTGGATTCAAAATGCAATCAATGAAAGAATCGTCAATTATTCAAAATAAAATCAGAATTAATGCGAATATATTACTACAAATTTCTATTTATGGCCAAAGATTTGGAAATGTATGACCGAATTTTGGACAAACTTGAGAGCAATGGGCTGTGACGCAGGTGATGGGAAAAATCAGGTGTGATTAAGTGTGGGGTATTATAATTTAGCTGCATCCTGATTGCGCCATCTGTCAGATGATAGCTGTATTATTTTCGCGGACCAGTGACATCCGAGGGCTAGAATAGGATAATTTGTCTCAGATACAGGTGATATTTAGCAGACGCTCCATTGTTAAAAAGGCGGCGCATTCTAAACAGGCGGGAAAATTTTAATTCTCTTAAGCATTTATTTTTATTTAAATATAGAAAGAACTACATTAAGGCCCCGTTTGATAGTTGCTGACTGAGAAAGGTCTGTCTAAGTAAGAAATTCTGACTGAGTAAGAAATCATGCTGTTTGATTGAAAATCTGACTGAATGTGCTGACCGATGCAAAATGACCTTGGTACCCCTATGCTCTACGGTCTACACGTTTCTATGCAATATTATAATAATAATAATAACAACAACAAGAACAATAATTATAAAAAACAACAACAATAATAACAACAATTACATAAAGGCTTCAAAATTCTCACAAATACCAAATATGCTTATTTTCTAACCATTCATTTAAAATCTCAGCTTCTTGTCCAGCTTCTTGTCCACTAGGCAATGCAAGAATTATTGAAGCAAATACAGACTTCAAAGATTGCCATATTTCACTCATTTTAACTACTAAACACTCGTTTTCATCAATTGTTAAAGAATCAAACAAAGGCTTCAAAATCTGAAATTTCATCAATTGTTAAAGAATCAAACAAAGGCTTCAAAATCTGAAATTCAAACAGCTAATTTGCAAATTGACCAAAACAACAAACATCAACATAACAGCAAACAAAAAACAATAACAGAACACCAAAAATCTGAAATTCAAATAGCAAAAATATGACCCAATCAGTCTTAAGGAACTATACATTAGCAACAAACAATAACACAACAACAAACAACAAAAATCGGCTATATAATAGCAAAAATCGGAACACCAAATAGGAAAAGAACAACAAAAAAGATAAAAAAAAAAACGAATCTTTAAACAAGAAAAAAAGTTACCTGATGAGAAGAGGAACAAAAAAATCGGACCTTCAAATCGACGATTCTTGTTGTTAAAATCAGAACATAAAAATCGAAACTTCAAATCGAGGATCTTGTTGTTCTATGAAGAAGAAAAATGTGTTGAAAGAGGAGAAAAACCGAAGGGGATGGAGGCGCTGATAGCTCTACAAAGGCAAGGGTAAAATTGGAAACGTAGAAACCCTTTCTCGCTCAGCTCCTTTTTTTCTTCTAACCCATTCAGATATTTCTTTGTGAGTCAGACAACCAAAATTAATCTATCAAACACCTACATCTGACCGAGTCAGCCAAAAACGTCTGACTCGACTCGGTCAGACACAAATCAAACAGAGCCTAAGTATGTTCCTTAAAAAATTTTTAAAAAAAAATTATAAATGATCTATATGGTTTTTCGGAATATCAAGTTTAATCGATAATTTTTATTTTTAGTTTTTTTTTTGAAACGACAAATGATTAAACGGAAGCCTACTCGTATATTTCAACGAGCACCCCGGGTTCGAGCTCCTTTACAGGGCAAACCTAGCCCCCATAGGGGTTTCCAGGGAAAATTTCCCCACATGTGGCACAAGTTTAAGAGGCACCCAAATTGGGTTTTGCAGGGATTGAACTCCCGACCTCTGACCCCACGTGGGTATTAAACCCGGTACCTCTTCCCAGCTAGGCTGGAAGTCATTGGTTTTTATTGTGATCGTTCCTTGTCCTGTATAAAATTTTACTTATTTGGCATTTTAATTTATATTTTCATTTTCTTTTTATTACAACAATTAAAAAAACAAATACTACCCCTACCCCACCCCATCCCACCCCCGCACTCTCTTATAATGCTCGTCTTTAAGAAACCACAACCACGGGTCAACGACGTTGCCACCGGATCTTCGTCACCACCAAACCTCCACTGTCACCACAACCATGCCAACCTCCATAAAGGGTCCCACCCACCCCAACCCACCACCGTCTCTTCCATTGACCCTCCACCACCATCTCTTCTGGTTACCTTCCACCACCATTGTCCAACACCACTGCAGTCCCCCATCACCACCAATATTAAATCGTTTAAGAAATGAACACAAACAAATTATTGAACCCAATTAACCTATATTTGAAGCTATACAACTCATCTTCCAATTAATAGTGAAATTTAACGATTCCAAACATCAATGAAGACGATCGAATAGAAGCATAACCACTCGAAAATATTCATCCAATTTTGAAGCTTCAAATTAAAATCAGCCAAAATCCATCTTGACCTTGTATGTGTGTGATGTACGTGTTCGGTATTCCAGCACGAAGGTTGAACCCCTATCTTACAAGCCTACTTCTTCTTGTTCTGTTCTCAATTTTGGGATTTCAACATCAGATGCCCACCTTGAAGAACCAAACCCATTGTTCATAAGAATCCTAAGTTCCCGCCGGTTGTAATGACATAAGTATACAATCAACAAAGTAAGATATATATAACAAACGAAATATATATATATATATATATATATATATATATATATATATATATATATATTAAAGAAGGCTAGAATAGGAAACCTGGTGTTTTTTCCATATTTGATCAACATGTTTACATATTTTCATTTTCTACCCTGGTTATATATATATATATATATATATATATATATATATATATATATTAAAAGTCTGTTCCTCTAAGAATCCTGTTGGACCACCTTTTTTTTTTTGTCAATGTCTGATTACTTTCTTCAACAGTGTTGTGTTACATGGTGTCTTCTCAATCCACCACTTCAATTGTCCAAGGGTTTTGCTCCAGGTAACACCGATGTTACTTTAATCTACCGATCCACCGCCTCAAAACTCCGTACCACCTTCGATCAGAAACCACCGCTTCTTTTTTCTTTTACATCCATTCAACGCCATTCCTACTCTTTTCCTTCCACCGTCTCTCTATAGCTACCATCGTTCCAGTTTCTTACGCCCGATTTCTTCTTCTGGGTTTACAGCTTCATCTCGATCATTCTTCTCCTCTCGATCCTTTCTCAGTGGTCGTTTGATAGTTGCTAACTAGGTTAGAGCTGAATAGGTTAGAAGTTGACTGGGTTAGAAGTTTTGACTGAGTTAACTTCTGACTGAAACTTGTTGTTTGATTTTGCGTCTAACTGACTGTATAAAATGATTATATTACCCTCAAAGTAGATAATTTATAACACATCAGTACTTGCAAGAATAAATTCCAAAGAATGAGGTTCTAGAAGTAGATAATTAAATAACCAAAAACAATTTACTTTTATTTTCTTGTCAAACAAAACATGAGGTGTATGATAGACAATCGAATACTAGATTCATAAGAGATTAACATCTCTCAAAGGCTAAATTTAACCCTAATCAGTTGAAAAATGCAAAACTCTGATATAAATCTACACAAAACCTTTATTCACACATTTGATCTATATTTGACAATTTAATCAAATAACACATATCCAGATGACCAAAGCTAATCCAATAAAATATAACATTTATTCACACATTACCAAAAACCAATCAAATAACACATAAAAAACTCTACCACCAATCCCTAAATGCAAGTGTGTTGAACCCAAAATGCTCTGTTGCAGCTGTCAAAACAGACGTCGAACTCCACTCCCATAACATGAAGCCCCATTTGAGAAATCAAGAAAATTAACAAAACTACAACACCAAACATTAAACATAAATCCCTTGGAAACAATCCTTATTCATATCGCTCTTTGAAATGTGATTTTTTTTTAAAGATTTGTACACGAAATGATGATCTGAACATCAAGCGAGGGTGGTTAATTTGTTTTAAAGTTTCCTACTATTCTTGGTTTTATATAAAATTGACCCAAATTAAAATAACCTCGTTTTCAAGTCCAACATAAGAAGTTCAAATTTATAACATATAATAGCAGCATCAGCAAACACAGACAATATATATAAAAAACGCAATGACTAGCAGCAACAGCAATCAAGAAACATGTGAAAAAAAACAAATTTCTCAATAGTTAAAAAAAGCAGAGGTTAAGAAAATCAAACTTGTTGGAGTATTGGGTCAACAGAGAAGAAGCATCGTTAGAGATAACACTCATATACTCTTTTCAATCGATATTTAAAACACTAGAATAGTTCAATTGATCACTAACAGGGAAAAATCTAAAAAAAAATCGGCTTACCTGCGCTGCTGTGGAGGTCGTCGCCGGTAGAGGCCCCTGAGGTGTCGTCGGTGGTATGCTATGTGGAAGGAAGGGCTGTAAAAGGAAGGGTTGTAGAAGGAATCGACCATTCTACTGATTTCAGGAACAAAGTTCCCGGTCCATCAATATAATAGGGGGGACTGAATCTGATGAACACCTTGGACCGAGTCTTTGACTTTCAAATCCTTATAAAACATGCCAATTGGATTTTGTTGGACCCAATCCCTCTTTGGACCCAGTTAGAACCTATATCAAACGACCCTCCTGCCACTGCGACCACCGCCCGATGGTCTCTCCTCGCCACAATATGCTTCGCTCAAGTCTGGAATTTTGCATTAATTGAAAATCCACCACCTGTGCTTCAGTCACTCGACACCTCCACCATTTACCCGAGACAGAGCGATCGTCTGTCACAGTGGCCGCCACCGCCGCCCTAGGCGGAAACCAGCTCAGCACACCGAAGAACAAGGAATCCCCCAAGCAGTGACGGAGAGCAAAGACTGCCACCGGTGTTTCATCTGCGACGTCATCTTCCCATCAATTCGCAACTATCGCCAGGTGAATCTTAGCTACCAACCGCATACAAGACCTTAGGGTTCTTTTTTGTGCCAAATATTCTTCCACCTATTGTACTTCTCATCATCATCTTTTTATCTGTATCTTTAGGTACCATCTTTCTCTCATCCAGTTTTGTTATTACAGGTTGATGATTTTAACCTTTTTGAGTTTTCTTAGTTGTGAATCTTTTTTAGAAAAGTCATTACTCCCCTTGGAGATCGGCGTGATGGTAAGATTCTTGATACTGTTATGGAGGAGGGAGTCATTCCCTTCCAACCCACTGAACCCACTGTCACATCAGTTTTTGTCTCTCTTTTTTCTTCATGTTTCCTAACCCACAACACATGGAAATCCTATCTTTCTCAACCCACTCAACCCATTCAATTAAAAAAAATACAAAACAACTAAGATACAAGTCTTAAAACACATGGTACAAGAGAAAATGAGAGAGAGAGAGGATGAAGTGGGTTAGTGAAACCAATTAAACAACCCGCTGAAGAGGGAGTGGTACCGGCGGTAACTCTATTGCTAATTAAGATTTTACCTTGATTTTTTTGTATTTTTTTAATTGAATGGGTTGAGTGGGTTGAAAAAGATAGGGTTTCTGTGTGTTGTGGGTTGGGAAAGATGAAGAAAAAAGAAAGACAAAAATTGATGTGACAGTGGGTTCAGTGGATTGGGATCGGAGGGAATGACTCCCTCCTCCCTTAGTGGCTATGTACTTATTTTATATTATTTATGCATATATTAGGGCTTCAAATGGTGGTTACTTTGCGAAGACCGTTGGATCTAACTTGAAATTTCAACTGTTTATGTATCTAATGGAATATGGAGGTGAAATTTCATCTATATGTCAATCACCATCTCAAGTCAACCAGCTGTTTGATGTAAGTCCTAAACTAGAGGTATGGTGTAATGTTATTTGGTTGGTTGTTCATAATTAAGAATATATTTTTTAACTGAATTTAAGTCTAAGTCATTGGTTTGGTTTTTCTACAAGTTCCATGAACCTGAGATTTTAGGCACATCTATTGTAAAAAAAGGTATACTCTCTTCATTAAAGTTGAATTCATTAATAGAAACATCCACATAAGTTTATATTGTTTTTAAATCCCTTATGGTTCAAGAATGGTGTTTGGAAGCAATGTTTGATCTACTTCATTTCATATAGGAAAAAGAAAGCTACTTAGCTCACATTGGATGAAAATAATTTATAGTTCAGCTCTTTTCAGCTTAAGTAATTGATATATTTCATATGGAATTTGGTTATTGGTTTAGGGCTTCAAAATCTTTTATCATCTTCAATGCATTTTTCAAGTTCCTTATCATTTATGGATGGAAATGACTTTTTTTTTTATTATTTTATTATTTTTTATTTTTTTATCTACATAGTAAGATTTGAAACATGAGATTTTTGGTGATTACATTGCTTCCAATGTTCGAAACTTGAAAGCATTTAATTCAAATTAGTCAAATGGTGAGTGTTAAGTTCTTATGCAACTACTACGAAGGTAATATTTAATACTGCTTAGTACATTTGGGTTTCGTTAGTTACATAATTATTACATTTTTCTTGCAAATGTGTCATAGATGAAAGAGTTCCCTTTGTAACTTATTTAATAAGTTAAAATTATCTTTAATCCAGACATGAATTCAGTCATACTCAGTGCTCACTCTGAATGGATTAGCAGTGAAGTTGGCTTTAGATCTTCTAAGGTCAGGGAAACTAGAATTAACGGATAAAGGTATTGAAAATTACCGCACTGATAGAATTGCGCTCAGATCCGCCTTAAATGCCTTTTTTTTTAATTCATACGTACATAATTTTTTTTTTTGTAAACATGATCATATTATACAATAAAAACATTATAAATTTGTGTAGGCTAATGGAGTTCTCATGAATTAATTTTCACTGAAGAGAAGGAACTTATCATGTCGATTATGTTTTGTTGCAGGTGACAGTGCCATTGGGAATATATTTTTAAACATTTTTTCTTCATCAAGGTAACTACCTATCATCATTGGTTATGGAGAAAACATTCGTGAACTGTATAAAGAAACAACCACAACTCCTAACACCGACTCTCAAACACAATAGTTAAAATTGGCAAGTCCTTGCAAGACCACACAAACCTGCCCTTTGCAGATTGAAAAACTAAACCAAGAAATGATTATGCTTTTGAAGAGGAACCAGAATCGCCATCAAAGGAAGATAGTTTTGATAAAATGACATTTACACACATATAGCAAACTACTTAAAATCGATAACCGCA